ATTTGATCTTTCAACCATATTAAATTTGGGATACCGAGTCCCAGAAAAGTCATGACGTCAGGAACTCAATCTAGTTTCTCTGACGGCAAGGCCAAGGCTAAACCTAGATGTGCAACTGGCTTGTTCTACAAGTGTGACCGATCTTTTCACCTCACGAGGCTTCAGTTTCATCTGTAGCTTCCAGGCACTTTCCTGCTAGAAATGTGCAGATTCTGAACAGTACGTGTGGAGTGTGGTGTCTTGTGTACGGATTGGGACTAGAGGTGTGGCTTGGCACCCTAGTCACTAGGAAGGGAGGGTAAATCTCACTTTGATGGCGGTCCAAGGTGGAAAGTGACACAGCTATTATACAATGTGTTAAACAGCCTGGTTCTTGTGTTTTGAGGGGAAAGCAAAGACCAAGACCTGACTAGCCTTTCTTATACCTATCACCAGCTTATTATACCGTGAACATTGTGCCTCTGGGAGCTTTTCTTTCCAAGCTTTGGAATGTCTCTTTACGTGGCATAATCCCTTCCATGCGTGCTGAGCATTCTTCTCACTCTCTTCTCCGGAGATGCTGCTAGCTCTGCTCTGCTGTATTCACCACCACTGCTACTGTTACTGTTATCGCTATTATTAAAACGGAGGCTTGTTATATAGCTTATGTAGGTTAGCATCATACACACAGTTCTCCTGCCTTTTCCCCCAGTGCAGGAATTTCAGGAACATGCTCGCTCTGCTTCTTTGGCAGCAGGACTGATTGGAGGGAGTTTGTTCTACTTTTTGCTTAAAAGCTAGAACCCAAGCCTGGTGGCATAGGTCTGTGGTCCTCAATGCTAAGGCAGGAAGATACTGGATTCAAGTACTTCCTGGGTTACATAGTGAGTTTGAGGCCAACCTCAGTAACTTAACATGTTACTGTCTCAAAATAAAAATTAAAAAAAAATTAATAAAAAGGGCTGAAGATGTAGGTCCATGGTACAGTAATGGCTAGCATGTGTGAGGCCCTGGTTCCATCCCTAGTACCAAAAGATAAAGGCAGTAAAACTGTTTGAGGACACATGTAGAATGGACGTGTGTGTGTGTGTGTGTGTGTGTGTGTGTGTGTGTGTGTGTGTGTACTCATAACATGAACAAGAAAAGTCAGGAAAGAAAAATAACAATAATCTTAACTGAGTCCTTAGAATGTGAAAGGCCCTCTGCTAGATCCAATAGATATCTTATCTCCCTTCATCTCTGAGATGGGAACTATGCTGTGTAATGGTTATGTGATCAGGAACTAGAGCCAGACAGACCTGGCTTCTCACCAAAGCCTTGATACTGCCTCATGTGTGACCCTGGACAAATCTATGTGACCTTCCTACGCTTTGTTTCCTCACTGAAACAACATGTGTAATGTTCTCAGTATTACCCTGGAGTAAGTGCTTGCTCAGTGAAGGTTAACTAACATCATGGCAATCACTCCAAAGAGCAGATCTTATCTACTTTATACTACTTGAAAAATTCAAGGTCCTGAGAGGCTAGGCAAAGTCAGTTTCATGCTGGTACTGATGTAATGTTATGGGCATCTGTTGTTTCTTTTCCCTAAAAGCTCATTTTTATCCTGAGAAACCATTCCCATTTCTCTTGCCCTTTATCCCATTTTGTTCTGGAACACATCATATAAAGGTCAAAGGAGAACTCTGGAGTCAGATGATCTAGCCCAACTCTCCCAATGCTTCCTGCTGGCTGTGTAATTTTGGGATTCTTTAACCTTGTGCCTTAGTTTCTTCATCTATCAAATGGTTGATAAAAATGTTTGCCACTGGATTCTGAAAAGGATTAAATCCATGAATACAAACAAAATGCTTACGGCATGGTGTGATAGAATGCAAATGTTCAACAAGTGTAAATTAGTCTTGCTCTACCTAAACTCTTGCTTACCTTGTTTAGTCTAGGGCAAGGTCATTAGATTTTTCTTATAAAGAGCAAATGCCAATGTTTTAGGCTTTGTGGTTATGCCATCTCCTTCACCCACTGCTGGCTATGTTAGATTTTTGGTATCTATGATTCAGTTCTGATACTTTGATATAATTTGTTTTCTTCACGCTGTTCACAATTATTAAGAAAAATTGAAGGCTGGCATGTACTTGGTATTTATCATGTGCCAGGCAATTTAGTATGTACTGTCCTGTGTGATCTCTCACTGCATACAGTAACTTTCTAAAGTTGGCATTATTACCATAATTTGACCAAGAACACAGGAATATTTGATGCCAGCTGATTTCCTTCTTAGATGCCATGTTAGCCTTTTTAAGGATGCAGAATGGACTTTTCAGGTCCCATTTCATGTCTTCCTCAGTCTCCAAGGAAGAATGCTGGAAGAGCAAACTTCATCAAGGCACACTTAATCCCTCTTCTGGGAAAAAGGGCATGTCCTGATCAGGAATCCTCACTGTTCCCTTTGGCCCTTTTGGGCAGTGGGGAGTGGCAGTCTTGGAGGTTTTGCCCAGCTGCCCAGAAGAGAGTGGATGAGCAGCTGAGGCTGCCGATAAACAGCCTGAGTTAATCCAGGCTGCAGCTTGTAGTTCTCTTGCAAGACCCATCAAGGATTTTCCTTCCGCAGTATCACTTCACAGTGGCTGGCTGACTTGTGTTTACCAACTGCCTGACTCTTGGATATGCAGGATACTTCAGCAGGTAGACTGTACCTAACCTGAGCAGACACATCTTGAGCTCTGAAGCTAGCACAGGAAGGCTTGCATAAACAGGGCTTTTGTGACAGAGGATGAGAAAGAAGTCAGAGGAAATAATTAATCCCCATATCCATTAACAGTTCTCATCTTGAACACCAGTTCTTTGAGTTTTGGATAGAAGTCAAAGAGCTGCCAAATTAATACTTCGTATTGGACAACTTCTGTGTCTTGTTCCATTTCTTACTAACATAGCTGTCATAGTTTATGTTAGGCACTTAACCTACATTATTTTTAATTATCTCAGCAGTTCTGATGAGTAGATATAAAATGTCACTAACTAAAAGGATGAACAGAGGTTAAAACTTAGTGAAGACTGGGAGGGAACTTGGCCTCTGTTTATACCACAGTTGAGGGGAGGCTTTATAGCTCTCAGTTCTCAGAACAGGTCCAGACAGCGGAAATAGAAATGAAACTTAGAGTCAGTTGCACCTCTTCTTAAGTTCTCAGACATTTTGAAGGGAGAGACTTTCATTACTCTGTTTGGTTGAGGTACCATCAGCACTTGACTAATACCTGGCCCGAAGCAGGGGAGCCACAGATTTGTGTGGAATGTTTGAATCAGTGACTCCACATGTCCGCTTCCAACAAAACAGCAACACTGACTGGATGAGGTTAAGGTCTTAGTTAAGTTCTTTCTGGAAGTCTCACTACTTTTACGATGAATTTTTATTTATCTCATGTTTTTAGTGTGTGCTGTGGGATGTTCTGTATGGCAAATGTGTTGCTCTGATTGGTCAATAAATAAAACACTGATTGGCCAGTGGCTAGGCAGGAAGTATAGGCGGGACTAACAGAGAGGAGAAAAGAAAGAACAGGAAGGCAGAAGGAGTCACTGCCAGCCGCCATCAGGACAAGCAGCATGTGAAGATGCCGGTAAGCCACGAGCCACGTGGCAAGGTATAGATTTATGGAAATGGATTAATTTAAGCTATAAGAACAGTTAGCAAGAAGCCTGCCACTGCCATACAGTTTGTAAGCAATATAAGTCTCTGTGTTTACTTGGTTGGGTCTGAGCGGCTGTGGGACTGGCAGGTGAGAGAGATTTGTCCTGACTGTGGGCCAGGCAGGGAAACTCTAGCTACAAATGGCACCCAATGAGTTGGCAAGAGTTTCCACCTAAAACCTGAGAAAAGATTCTAAAACGGAGCTAAAAACAGCTTCCTAATTGTCTCTCTCAAATGAGCCGCAGCTGCCGGTTTGAGCTGCTGGCGTGTTCCTGGCTGTGCTCGACCTGCAGTATGGCGGGAATGAGGCCTCTGCAAGTGGCACATTAAGCTGCGTGGTGGATTTAGTCTTTGCTAGTACAAAACAAAAAGAGAGGTTTCTGGGCTACATGCTGCTTGGATAAAAGCATAGACCCACGATAGCTCCCAGAGCTGGTAGTAAATGTACCACCGCCATGTTGGGAAGCTGAGGTGGGCGGAGTCAGCAGCCATAGCATCATTTCAGTCTTACGAATGCTGCAGTTTAAAGCAATAGATTCACAATAAGACAGATTCAGATGTAATAGTTTACAATGTGTGTAAAATATACATAGGCTTGAAAGAGACAAAAAAGGTGATATATACAGTTATATAAACAAATACATAGTTTTAAAAAATAAAGTCTTTAAAGAGATAATAAAATTAATATAAAAAATAAGCCACGTAAAGATGAATATTACACAGAGAATCTGGATTGTGTTGTCTTTGGGATTTTTAACTGCAGAAAAACATTTGATCATAAAAGATGTTGAGTTAAACCAATATGTATATTTTAAAGATGACTTGACTTCAAAATTTGGATGTAAGGATGTGTTGCTTTGGAAAGGAGACTCTGCTTTTGTTCCCACAGAAAGCCAGAGGCTATGGATTTATTCCAGATTAAGATACATCAGGTTTGACCAACCAAGACCCCCTGAAAGGTCTCCAATGACACCATGGCCCAGATGATCCAACATCCAGAATGGTTTGAAGGCAACTGGCTCAGACAATACAGCCTCATGGACTATTCCATAATCCTAAAATTTTCTTTGTGTCCCCATAAGGTACAGCACCCCCCTCCAGCAGGAAGTAGTAAGAGAAGCTACACCCAAATTCCCAAATTATATGTAATTTTACTTTTTTAAGGTTAAAACCTTCCTTTTTGAAAAAAAAAGAAAAGAAAAGAAAAGGGGAAGTGCTGTGGGATGTTCTGTATGGCAAATGTGTTGCTCTGATTGGTCAATAAATAAAACACTGATTGGCCAGTGGCTAGGCAGGAAGTATAGTCTGGACTAACAAGTGTCTCTGTGTCTGTGTGTAGCAATGTCACAGGAGTGAAGCAGGGACCAGCAGAGGCCAGAAGAGGGTATTGGACCGCCTGGAGTTGGTGCCACTAGTGAGTCACCTCATGCTTTCATGGCAAACTTTTTACTGACTCAGCTACCACAGTATGTTAAAAAAAAAATCTTAAATTTAGATAGTTTTTTTGTTTGTTTGTTTTTAGACAAGGTCTCAATTGGTTACCTGTGTCGCCCAGATTAGACCTAATTCCTCATTTTTCCTGCCTTAGCCTCCCAAGCAGCTGAGGGTATAGGCATGGGTCACCCTGTCAAGGCCTAGACTGCTGGAGGACAGCCTCAAACAGAGGAAAGAATTCAGTTCCATGGATTTCCTTTAGGCTATTTTTGTAATGAACCTTAACTAGACAGTTACCAAGTTTTGTCTGCTGAGCAAGTTAAGCAGAGACCCCTAGAATTCAGGCCTTTGGAAAGGGGGGTAGAAGGCAAAGGGGGAAATTGTGGGCAGCGGCGGGGGTGGGGCAGAGCTGGAACATTGCCTAGTCCTTGCTCCACAGGCAGAACCTCAGCCCAGTTCCCTTTTGCTTGCTCTGTGGGACAAGGCTGCATTAGCAAGCTATAAATTCCACCAGTGTAAGTATGAGGAATGTGGAGATGAATGTGAGGAAGTCTTTATTCCAGAGGAAAGGGCATGATAGTGGGCCAGCTGGAGACGGAAGACAGAACAGTTCCCAAGTGTGAGCCAACAGAGATTGGAAATGAGAATCTGGGCTCAGCCTGCATCTGGATTTTAAGAACTGGTTGTAAGTGATAGGGCTGTCAAGTAACTGGAAATAAGTCTGTAGAGACCTGAGGTGACACGGGATTGATTTGTGAAGAAAAATTAGTAGTGTGTTTATCTGATCATTTGAGACAACCTGTCCCTCTGGCAAGGAGAAGCATTTGTGCAGGGAATTAAACTCGCAGAAAGACTGAAAGTAGCAGTGGGCCCTGCAAAAATGATGAGCAGACAGTCAAGTATCCAGAAAAACCCATCTGGGTTTGCCATCAAAGACAACTGGGTCGAGATAGGGAGTGTAAGCAATTGGCCCAATGTCCTGAGAATTGTGGGCGATGTCCTGTCTTCAGACCTGTGGTTACTACTGTGGAACTCACAGTAAAGGATCGTTTCCCATCAGGAAATGAGACTTAGAAACGAAAACTGTTGAAGACTGTTTAGAAGATGTGTGTTAGCTGAATGCTTGCTGGAACCCACAGAAGGTCTCTGGGTTCTTGGAAAGTTAACAGAATGACCTCTTTTCTTCCTCATAATTTGGCTAAGTATAAACAGAGACTTATTTATAAAGGGAAAAAGAATTTAAGGACAAAGACCCTCCTGAGGCTTGCTTTGAGTGGAAAGATTTAAAAACTACGCTATCTAGGGAGTTGAAGAGAAGGCTCGGCAGTTCAGAGTACTTGCTACTCTTGCAGAAGTCTTGGATCTGGTTCCCAGAACCCACATGACATCTTAACGTAACTCCAGTTCCAGGGTAGCCAGTCTCCTCTTCTGGCCTCCATAGGGGCACCAGGCATGCATGTGGTATTTTTACATGCATGTAGGCACTCACCCATACACATAAAGTAATAGTAATTTTAAAATGAACAAAATTGCTTTCTTAGCTTCACCCAGTCATAGAGTACATGGGTAAGAGAGCACATGTATGCATATTTCATTACTGCTTCCAAAGTGGGGGCAGGTCAACATTTCCATTAATTGGTGAGGCCAGGAAAGCCATTTATCTCTGTGTCTCATTTTCCTTACCTTAGAAATGGAGAAAATACTATCTTCTCTAGATTTCTTACAGAAGTTCTTAATCAAGTGAAATTTTAAAATGATTTCATTGTTTTCTATGGTTAGCGCTGAGACAGATATGTGGGCATGTTTCCTGTGACCCTAGGGGCAAGGTAGTGTTTCCTAAACATAGTGGTTGGAGACACCTTCAGTCAGGGCTTCCCTGGAGGACCTCTAGAGAAGAGTTGTGGGGTGCCCTAGTGTTTCAATTTTCCTGCCTTGACTAGCTTGTCATTGAGCTGGCAAAGTTGGACAAGGGAACAATTGTTGGGGTCTATCTCACTGTTTACCTCACAGTGTTCAAGACAGACTTGGCATCTGTCTCCTCATGCATCAGGAGGTATGTAGTGATTAGCATGGGGAAGTGTTTATACCTCTCACTGCAGTGGATAACCCCTGGTCTGAAAGAAAGAGAGGAGGCGTGGTGAGCTCTGGATGTATGACCACACTCTATGCATATGGAAACTCTGCAATTGAAGTTTAATGTGATACCACTGCATGCACCAGAATGGCTAAAGTTCTAAAGATGGAAAGTTGTAGAGCAACCTAGACTATCCTTTGTGACTGGGGAAGACAGAGTGTGAGGTCCACCCACCATAGAGAACTGGCAGCATATACTCAAATTGGACACGTGTGTGCCTCTTATATCAGGCACTGGTACTCCAGTCCATGCACCAAAGGTGCATGCACATACTGTCCATGGAAGAACCTTTCCTGAATGTTCTTAGGGGGCTGCACAGATGACTAGTGGTTAAGAACACTTGTTGCTCTTTCAGAGGATCCAAGTCTGTTCCCAGAATGTTCCTGGCGGCACTGCATATTGGAGCCCAGCTGCAAACACCCAAGGAACCATCAACAGTAAGAGGAATAATCAAGAATAATGCACAACTTACCAGACATTTCATGTATGAAGCATGCACATACAGTTTGATTGTTCAGAGTTAGAAAGCAGGCATGACCCATTTGTGTTTTTAAAAGCCTGCTGGTATTGGGAAATAGGGGTGGAGAGACTGAGATGAAGGGAACATGTGATGACTTTCTAGAGGTGCTGGTTGCTTTATTTCTCGAGCTGGGAGTTGGTACAGGGCCTGTATAATGACTTACACGTGCTGGGAAGTGGAACTTTCCTATAGCTGTTATACTTCAGTGAAAAAAATGTGAAGCCAGGCATTGTAGCATACTCTTCCAGTATGCAAGAGACTGAGGCAGGAAGATTGAGAGTTTGAGACCATACAGCACTCATAGCTTGAGGGTAGCTTGGCTTACATAATAAGTTCTTGCTTCAAATGAACAACAATAGCAATAAAATGGGAACAGTTCAGATGTCCACTAATAGGTGGATGGAAAAACTATGCTCCATGATAAAAAAAAAAATGAACTGTGCATGTGTTCAACAGGGTTGGAACCGTGGCTGGAGAGATGACTCAGCCATTAAGAGCACTTGATCCAGTGACCGAGGACCTAAGTTGAGTTCCCAGCACCCATGTTGGCCAGTTCACAATTGACTGAAACTCCAGCTTCGAAGGATCCAACACCCTATTTGGCCTCCTCAGACACCTGCATACAGCTGGTACACACGCACAGACACATACACATAAATAAAAATAAAATTAAAAACAGACAAACATGGATAGAAGTTAAGTATTTGAAGTGAAAGAGACCAGGAAAAAATTAAAAATTGATCTATTTTTCCCAAATGAAATGGGTTTGGGGACCTGAATTTAAACCCTAATTCTATCATTAATCACCTGTATATTCTAGGACATGTTTCTTGTCAATGCCTCAGTTTTCTGGTCTCTAAATGTTTATCAAAAGATTAATTGAGATTGAGTAATGTATGTCAAACACTTAGGTGATACATAAAATTTTGTAGACTATAAAGGTCATGATTATGATTTTTTGAGACACACCTCTCTGTAGCCCACACTGGCCTGGAACTTACTATGTAGCTCAGGGCAGCTATGCTATCCTCATGCCTCAGGCTCCTGAGTACTGAGTATTGAGATTCTGAGATTGGGATTGGGATTCTTCAAAAGTAAGAAACACAAGTTAAGTGCTAATCTAGGACGTAACCTGGTGCATGGTATGGTAAACTCTGCTGCTGATTATTAATAATAAAAATTAACAAGATACAGAAAACTAACTACAGAGTGCCCCCTCTTGCCTCTGGAGAACAGCGTAACAAAACAGAAGTGAAGCCAGTCCATGCAGACCAGCCTGCACTTCACTGGATTTGGATCTTTCCTGACACCTGGGGAAGTCAGTATTGATTTATGCAGTGGAGACAGGGAGCGGGCGCATTATAACCGTATTGGATGCATACGGCAAAACAAGCCTTGGCCAGAATTCCTCACCACTCAACTCTGGAGCAACTATAGCATCACCAGAATGATGTGCTGCCAGAAGCCTCAAAGTTAGGGTGGTACCGTTCTACCAGTTCACCACAGGAGATGGTACCAAAACCATGGGCAGGAGCCCACAGTGAGCAAATTACAGGACAGAGAACTGGAGGTCCAGGCAATCACAGGCCGAATGTAGAAGTCTCTCTCAATGTTGGGCACTGCTGAGAGAAAACTGGCTCCCCAGGGGTGTTCATCAGTAAATGCTATGGTAGGGTAACAAAATGGCTATAAGGTTGCTAGAAAACTAATAAAATACCCAGATATTTGTTTTTCTAGCCCAAGGGTATAATGGTTCTTTCTTAATACTTTTCTACTCATTATATCTTTTTGGAGGCAGTTCTATTTTTGTGTCTAATGAGTTCCTGAAAATTTATATGAAAAGTATAATACATAAAAGTGAAACAATAACCTTACCTATTATGTGAGGAATTTTATCCCCAAGAACTAAACAAATTATACATTCTGCAGTACACAGTACACATTATGAATATTTTAATCCTAGGTTAAAAATAGAAACCCAAGTTCTCTGTCATATATTTGATTATTTAAAATGTAAAAAACAACAAGAGTAACAACAATAACCAACCAAGTTAGAGTCTGTGGAGATGGCTTAGTGGGTCAAGTGCTTGCTACGAAAATACATGGACCTGAATTTGAATCCCCAGCATCCACTTACGAAGCTGGGCCCAGGTCACACATGCCTGTAACCCAGAGTTAGGGAAGGGTAGGGGTTTGGTGTGTGAGGAGTATAGGTGTGGAAATAGGCTGGACAACCAATCAAGCTGAAATGGCAAGCTCTGGGTTCAGTGAGAGACCCCATCTCAGAAAAAAAAATTTAAAGACGAGAGCAGCAATGTAGATCCTTGAAGCCATCTTGCTTCCGCGTGTTCTTGCACAGGCTAGCTATCTGATGTAGAAGCGATAGTGATATCCAGGTAGAAGACTGAGGCAAATGAATATAACAACTTCTAAAATACACACACACACACACACACACACACACACACACACACACACACACACACTAAAATTACTTATCTATCCTAATTTCTTACCTTAATTTCTGCTTGTTCTTAGTCAGCTTGAAGCACTATTATAAATTTAGCTGACCTAGATTCTGGTTGAACACATGTGCAAGTCCTAAGAGTACAAGGACAGGACAAAAGGGGACCTGAATCACACATTGTGACCCTAAGTCTCCAAGCTTCTAGAGCAGCAAAGGCAGTCATGTGCCTGACTTCATCACCATTACCACCAAGTAGCTGGCAGCAACAGCAGCTCCAGGCTTTGGGTTAAAACCCCAGCAGAATAGTTCTTCAAGTATGTGACCCTCTGATGTAGAAGCGATAGTGATATCCAGGTAGAAGACTGAGGCAAATGAATATAACAACTTCTAAAATGGACTCAGAAGAAGCAAAAAACACATCATCTTGGTTTAAAAAGTCACTGAAGCCCTACCATATTCAAGTAAACCATCTTTATTCTTCAGTGAGGGGAGAGGAAGGAGGAAGGGCAAGGCAACTCCAGGGGCCTGTTGTCCTGCGCCCATGCTTTCTAAAGTAGCCTACCTTGGTCAAGTCCCCCATGCACTCATATGCACACCACAGCCTCTCTTTGTATTAGGCCAGAGACCTTTAGGGAAAAGCAAGTCTGGACAGCTGCAAATGGAGCCCGTGCCAGATAACTAAGCTTATAAAATAGATGGCTAGGTTCACCAGACATAAGACTGAGAAGGAGCAAGAAGAGACTGAGCAGGGGAAACAGAACAGAGTCTGAAAAAATACTGACTTGTGAACGAGGCGGTATGTAAGGCCATCACACTCATAAAACAAAAATAGGACCAATCACAACCCAGGGCTGCCAAAGAAATATAATAGGAGCTACAGATGACTAAAGACAGTTTTCTCCTCTTGTTTGCTTTGCAAACAATAGTGGTAAGATGCAGTAAAAACACACACAAGAACTTTAGGCAGGAAAAGAAGGGACCTTGCCAGAGCCAGGCTGTGGCTGGCTGGCGGTGCACCACGGGATGCCTCAAATTGCTCTCATTAAGCTGCAAGTGTGTGGAATTCCAGATCTGGTGTGGGAAAGGCATTTTAGGGTGGCATATGTAATGTGTGAAAATTGGGTTGTGTAAAAGTTAAATATGTGAAAGTTAAGAACCATCTGTGTCCACATTCCACTTGGCTTTCCCCAGGGCTGGACAATATAAATCTTCCATCCTAAACTCAGGGTCACCATAACAATGACTAATGTCTGTATACGACTTCACCACTTAGTAGTTTACAGAACACTCTTACTAATTCTTCTACTTAATCCTTACCTTGGAAGGCTACTACATCTGTAGTTTACTCCTGAGCAAAGGGAGGGAACAGAAATTTGAGTCTGTAAACTTACAGAAAATAGAGGTTTTTCAGAAAGGCAAATTTGCAAACTATTTCCCAAAAGATGATTCACAGATTGTTAATCCTTTAGGATAAATCTGAGTATGCATTATAATTTCCTGGGATCTTGTAAACATTTACACACACACACACACACACACACACACACACACACACACACACACACACACACACGCCCCTACTCTAATCTTCCATTTCTGATTTAGTAGGAGCCCAATAACTTGAATTTCTAATAACTTCTTAAGTAACTGCTGGTGAGGTTCTAAGATCCACATATCAAGAACTGTTAGCATAGGAGTCTTTCTGGAGAAAGAGCAAGTTAAATTTCAATGTGCTTTCTGTGAAACAGAAAAAAAAATAGCTTTGGTTCTCTAGAGAAGAGGATAGGTGATGTGAAAATAATTATACTAGAATAATAGAATAGGGTATAACTTCAGTCTGGAAAACAGTTTTAATGCTACAAGTTCATCTTCTACATTAAAATGGAGACACCTGTAGTGTACTAGAGATAACAAAGATAAAAGATAGTATGTATGACACAATGAAATATTCTCGGGGTCTGGGAAATGTTTGTGATGTCCAATCTATCAACCACAGGTCTTAAGGAAGAGCTGTTTTTGAGGGATTGGGAGGAGAGAGAACAGAACTGGGTGGAACACCCTCAGAATTGTTGCATTGACTGTCTCTGGATTTGGGGCTTAGGGATAATTTTTAGTTCCTTCTTTTTATTTCTATAGTGAGTACATCTTATTTATACAGCAAGTAAATAAATCTGTCTTTAAAAGGTTCTCAGAGACTTTTAGAACCTCCATTTAAAGGGGAAAATACCATTTTTAAGGCCACTGTTAAAATTCTATCCCCTTTGTTTAAGCAATCTCTCTGATACAGTTACACATTTCTTGTAACATAATTCATATAAATGGCAATTTGGGACTATTTACTAGTGCAAAAAGGGGGATTATACTAGTCAATCAACTAGTGTCGAATTACCACATTTCATTGCATAGAGGCTGTTATTAAGGCAAGTCTAAACTAACCCCATCCCTCTCCCCACTCCTCATAATAATCTAGTTTCATCTGTATCCTTACTGCTCTTATGAATTTTGTTCCACTGTGTCTGAATACTTCCCCGAAGATGCAGGCCAGCCTCTGATATTCGTATATAATAAATGTTTCATTTCAGAAAAATAACTAAAACTTGTGCATGTTGTGGTATGTTGCCTACAACTTGTGTCTGTAGCATAGGTTCATACAGGTCTCAGTGTAGGGAAAATATTCTCCCTAGAGGAAGAATGAATCAATGGTTGAAACATTAGCTGCATTTAAATAAACATTTCCCAGACAGACTAAATATAGTTGTTGTTGTTTTTTCTGTAGATAGCTTAACTCAAACTGTTTAAAATCATTCTTATTTTATAATATATTCATAAACATACCCCTTTGAAAATTAAGCTAAGACTGTATATTTTGTATACATAAATACCAAGTTCTGTGAGGTCTATGAAAGTCTCCTATCATAAAAATAGGCTATATCTAGACTTTTAGAGATAAAGTCCGTACGCATGAATCAGTAAGAAACAAATGACAGACATTGTAGATGAGTGGTTCCGTGGAGTTAGTTCATTACACTGCACAAGGAGAGAAGCCATCTTCAAATTCATGTGTACGTATTTTTGTATGTGTGTTCATACATATGTATGCCTGCATGTACATAATTGTGTGCATGTGTGTGGACGTCAGAGGTCATCCTAAGATTGTGTTCCTCGGAGCCTTCAACTTTGCTTCTTTTTTTTTAAATCTCTCATTGGTCTAGAGTGTCTCCACCAGCCCTGCAGATCTTCCTGTCTCTGCTTCCCCAGTGCTGGGTTTATAGTTCAAACTCTTTAAATGTGACACTGACAGATTTTGACAGTACAGTGATCCCAACCAAGGTTGCAAAGTTTATTAAACTGAAATGAATCTTGGTTCTGAGAAGTTTGCTTTAAGGACCACACCCCCTCGCCCTTCAGCATGACCTCTCACCCTGCTTCTTCATTTTGCAGCTACAAGCCTTTAGTATACTAATGAACTTGGAAATAGACCAAGGTGAAGTATATGGCAGGTAGGATGCTTTGGGCCATAAATAAGGCTCACATGTACCAACTGAAAAGGTAACTTCACGTGTTACTGGATAAGAAGTTCTGAGTGAGGGTGAGTGGATACAGCAGGTTCAAGTGCCTACCCAAGAACCAGCATTTTCTAATCCGATCAATCTCTCTCCACCATCAGACTGATAGCAAAGTGATGCTGCACTTCTCAAATGTGAAGACAGTCCAGACAAGGATAGGCAAATGGACCCAAGGGCTTGACCTGGACCATTGCCTGATTTTATAAGTAGGCTTTATGGAAACATATGTAAGGCTATTTCTTTTATAGGGTATCTGTGAATGCATTTGGATCATAACAGGTATGAGTAGCTACAACAGAATTTGAAAATTCTCAGAGTCAGGTCAAGACAAGATACAGCCAGCTCACTCACTGCTGCTCATTGCTCATATTATCTGTTACTGTTTCCAAGGGGCCATTCATCTCTCCCAGTAGTGACTCATGCTTCCACAAATGTTTATTAACACCCCTCCTGCACCGTGTACACGGGCAAACAAGGAGCTTCTAACCTTCTACACCCTTACTTTGTATTTGCTGTGGCAATGAGATTGCCTCTGGACTTTGTGTGAGTGGACTTTTCCTTTGCTTTCATAAAAGGGAGGGGAGGTAGAGGAGAGAGGAGCATGAGTAGAAAGAGAGAGAAAGAGAGAGAGAGAGAGAGAGAGAGAGAGAGAGAGAGAGAGAGAGAGAGAGAGAGATCTGGACTGGATATATGTTTCTCAAAAAAAATGGTTAAAGTGACCCTGGGCATTTCTAAACTCTTGTTCCTTGTTGTTCCTAATCTTTGAACTAACCATCCTCTAATTTCTCTTCTATTTCCACACTAAAGTTGTCCTCTTCATGGGGCTCCCTTTCATACTTAATCTGATTCTGAAACAAGGTAGAGAGAGGAGAAGAAAGACATGGACTATATCCTGAGTCTCCTATGAGACAGCGGTTGCACAGGGCGCCCTACTCACTTCCTGTCTTCACATCTGAAGCTCTTGGTATGCAATGCAGGCTGGGTCAGCAGAGGGAGACTTTGATTCAGAGTAACCAAGGAGAGCGCAGGTCCAGTGTGTTTGGCAGTCTTCTGACAGTCTTTTATAATTAGGCTCCTGCTAAATGAGATGCTCTTTCTAGTCCTTCCCTTTCCTAGTCTGCGGTCTTGGAAATGTAAAACTAGATTGAACTTAGAGGTGATCCTGAAAAATAATTCACGTGAGGGGACACATTCATAAAAGGAGATTAGGCAAAATGTTCATGCTGATCACAAAGAAAATGACATAATTTTCTTTGAAATGCAATGGAGAGAAAACCAGCATTTACTGAGGATTTTCTCTGTGCCATCTATATTAACATTCACAATATCCTGTGACTTATTATAATTACTTGATAATATATCTCGCTTATGAACAGTAAAATCTGACCATACAGAGTAAGAAGTATGGTTTAATAGGCCCATAGAAGCTTTTGATATTTGTTTGGCTTCTCAGAGAAATATAAACGAAGTACCCTTTATGGGTATCACTACATTTAAGTAAAGTAGTAGCTCAGGGTGGCCTCAAACTTGGGATACTCCTGCTCCCACATCCCAAGTTGCCGGGATTGCAGGCAGGTGCCACTGTGGTTGGTCTTTTTGTTCTGTGTGTAGTATCTCAAAAGATGACTGCATCAGCTCCAGGATTTACACATCTCTCAGAGGGAGGAAAAAGATAGGGCTAGCGTATCAGTCTTTATTTCATTAGCAAAACAGAAACTTTCCCCCAAACCTCCTCATCAGATTTGTATTTAAGTACCAGTGGTTGCAATGGTCACACAGATACCTACTAAGAAAAGAAGGGATAACTAGCACTGTCAAGCTCACCAGAGACTAGATGTGTACAGACAACACTCAAATCTGACCCACTGCCTGGGTTTTGTATACTCTTGCGACACAACCAGCATCCATTCACTTGGACATTGTTTCCAGCTGTTTTCACACTATAGCGGCAGAGCTGTGACAGACTGCAGGGTTCCAAGTTCAATGCGTGTACAATCTGGCCCTTTACAGAAAAGTTTGCCAACTCCTGATTATTCTAATCATGAGCCGGTATCTAGGGTGAGGCATTTTTCTCTCCCAAACCAAACTGGGAGAGATTGTGATAGAAAAAAAAATAAAAGAACGCTGTCAGATAGGTCAGTCATTTGCAGCGGTTGTTACTTCTGTTCAGAAAGACTAAGTAAACGGCAGACGAGCAGAAGTTGAATAAATGTAGTCTTGAGCTCAAACTCAATGCTTTCTGACATCACATCTGCTATGGCTTGGATATAATATTAAAGGCTCGTGTGCTGAAGGCTTGGTCTGCAGCTGGTGTGGCATTGTTGACATTGGATTATGGAGGTGCTAACCTCAACAATGAACTAATCATCTATGAAGTCATTTTTACCGGGCTATTAGGAGGTGGGTACAGGATGAAGGAAATAGGTCACAAGAGGCACATTTTGAAGAACATATGTTGCCTATTGACCATTCCCGTCTCTTTCTCTGCCCCCTGTCCACCATGAGGTGCCACATTGATCTCCTTCCTTCTCTCCACATTGGTGTTTGGCCTCACCATGCACAGGGGCCAGAAGCAATGGAACAAAGTGGCCCTGACACAGAGGTTGGAAATTATGAGCCACGCTAAAGCCTTCCTCCCTCCTGCTGCTCTCACTGTGATAAAGCGCTAACTAAAAGTGCTCTTTTGACTATATCATGTTTGGGGAAATTTTTTTTCATCTGCAAAGGAGCTGTCAGATCTGCCTTGTAATTCAGTTAAGCCATTAAGTGAGTTGTGCAGAAGATATAAAAGCAATCCATCTAAATAGTTTTGCAAAAACGATTAACCATTTACTTTTAAATTGTATGTCAGTATTTATTTCCCATACTGTTCTCTCTCCCATACATGCATACACTAGAGAGCTCACCTGAGCCAACTTGGGATTTTTTTTTCTCCTCTCTCTTACTTCGCAAACACCTGAACACACAGTAAAGACTCAATAAAAGTGTTATGTTCCATCCCATTGTTATGTCATATCAAGAAAAACATGTGATTTAGGTTTTCCTGTTTCTTCCACACAAGGCTGTACCCATGCATTCTGCACTTGACATATGTATGACGGCTGGATGGCATCTGACCACCCATCAGCTGGTCCCTTGCAACTGAAAATGATTGTGGTTGCAGTTGGAAGGTAACACGGTTGTGTAGTCATCTGTGGCCTGGCTGATCATATCGTCTTATATGATGGCCACAGCACCTCTGTAGGTTGCAGGTCACAGCCTTGTCTTGCTTCCATGCCTTCATTCAGTCTGCAACCTTGAAAGGGTATCACAGGTGGTCAGAGAGCTGAGAGGGATGCATTTTGGAACAAAGGCAAAGTTGACAAAGTAGGTGGCTTTAGAAAACCTGTTTTTCTTTCCTTTTTCTCCTCTAACCTTTCTTCATAAGTCAGTCTGAGGGGATCTGGAAATACCATTTGTCCACTTCCTGTCTTCCGTTCCATACTTGAGAAGCTTCCTAAAAAAGCTCTCTGCCTCTCATGCATGTCTTTGTCTACTCCTCTGCCTAAGGGATGCTTTTTTCTTAGGAAGGAATGTTCTAAAACACCTTTTGTCACTGGGATAACCCTTCTAAAGTTATGCTTTATAGCTGGCTCCCACCAAAAAGCCTTCCTTGGTGGTTGTAAGTGATCCTAATATCATAGCAGTTGCGTCCTGTGAGTTGGACCTTATTGTCAGCCTGTCTGTCCCTTGTATGATTCTATTAGGAAAACCTGCGAGGAGCCACCTGGTGCTTATCCTGTCCTCAATAAATAATTAGCAAATGTAAGACTAAGGAAGGGGTGTAGAAAGCATAGGGCCCCCCAAGAGCCTCTAATAGGTCAGGCCATGGATTTCTAACTCACATTTGATTTCCTACCGCTTTCTAGGAGGCTTTATTTGCTCCTCCTGCCTTGGAAACTGTGAAGCAGAATCAGAGCCTCTGTTTGGAGATCTTATCTCCACCGCTCCCCACTGGGTGTCCTTTCTTCCTCTATCTCTCCAGCCTGGCATTCCTCCTCCATTCCTGTTAAGTGCTGGAATCTGTCATCCTGGATGGAGTGCAAAAGCTACAGTGTAATCTGACTTTCTTTCAGGGCCACTGACCAGAGGAAACAAAAGCTAGACCGAGAGGCTCTCCCGATGCTGACCAGCCAATGGCTCTGCAGCTGCTTTCTGTGTTTAAAATTTCTTATCTGGTACGGCGAGCAAATCCTCAGGCCCACCAGTCAACTGGAAGCTTATCTCTGGGGCTGCTGCTTCAAAGAGATAGACACACACTGTGCCTCGGGGTCAGATGCTCTGTGTCAGTGTGAGAAGGGAGGCGTTTGGATCTGTCAGTTTAGCACGTGTAACACAACCCATTAACTTCTTTTTCTTTTGTTTCGAAGCAGAGTTCATTTCCCCCTTCTTGTATAATCAGTGCTTTAGGCAAAGGATGAAAAGTGGAAAGAAAGGGTTTCTTAACAATTTGGTCCATTTGACATACTTCTCTTGAATATTTTACTGTATTATTTAATAGTTTAGATTACCTGCACTTGGAAATGTATATACAAATGGATTTGGGGCTCTTTTCACTATAAAAATAAAATGAAAATGGTTCCTCAAGTTTTTATACCATTGGATAAAGGTGATTTTCATGGCTGATTCATTGTATATGTACAGAGTAAGCTGTTTTATTTCCTCATTTAGATGTGGCAGGTATTTTGTTGGTTTCCAACAGTTTTCATTTGTATTGTTGTAATGTCTTGGTTGGAAAGCCTTTTTCTTACATATGCTTGAATTTTCTGGAGTGATAAAATGGTAGGTGTACTATACGGTGACTATCAAAAGACAATTTGACAGGAAGTTTCTTCTCATTCATGTTTTGCCATGTGTGTGGCATGGCCACTGTATTATATGGCTGTCTTATTTAATAAGAAAAGATCAACAGAGGTTTAGCTTCCACTATTAATAATGACCAACGTCTTTCTCATTGAAATTTTTTTTTGGCTTAGTCTATTTATGCCCATTTTCTATGTTTCCATTTCAGATATTTTTTTCTTGTTCATTTTTGTGTGGATTGCTGACGTTCAGCGATGTTGCAAGTTAGAATTCGTTGTTTTCCGTTTGATTTTGTTTTGTCTGCATAATATTTTTTAAAAGTACTTCAGTTGTATAACATTGTGCTATTTTTCTGTTACTTTCAAATGTAACAGATACTTGATAATCATTTTTGTTATTGCTTGTGTGCTTTGAATCCATTTTCCCTTCTCTGAGTTATCGCCCGTTTTCTCAACCTCAGCTCACTTTTCCTCTGTCACTCAGTCTTGACCAGTTGGAGCACCACAGCCCTCTACTCACTGTGATAAGTTTAGGAATAAGCTTGCAACTAAATCGAGACCACTGTGAGATACATACAAGAAACACATACGAAAATTACATCATACTATTGTGAAAGAAAAGCCAAATTTTCTGCTAGGAATGTGGGAGGACACAGACTAGAGCTTTAGTAAGGCATCTTCCCATCACATAGACTGTGGGAGTGAAGCTTTCACTTAGGAGATCAGACCCAGATGGGGGGATTTAGATTCCCAATGATACTGTTTAAACCGGTCCATCAACCTACACTTAAAGATAAGGTATCTATACTTTCCATTCTCTGAGCTAATACGTCTTTACTCATTTAAGCCAGGTTAAATGGAGTATCAGTGAATACCAACAGAGACCTAATGCATGGGATATCACTGCCTGCATATTTTCTTTCCTAATGAAATGTTGGCTACAGTGTCCTAATCCTGCCATATTTCTCCTTCTGCTTCAACAGTGTAGCAATTTCCTCAGAGATTAAACATTCCTTCCTGTAGGAAAGCTCATGAAGACTGAGGAGGTTCCAAAATGGGCTGTTTAAAACTTAGAGAGAAAACAACTCAGAAGCTTCAGGAAGTCCCTGAAACTGGCCAGATGCACTAGCCCCCGCCTCCCACCCCAAGCTTATATAAGCAGTTAGGACTGCTAAGATACATTCTTAGCCAAGCCAAGCCACCCAGGAGATTCTCGGGCCAGGTAAACTTCCTAGAAAAGAGACCAGCTCTGCTGTCTCAAAGAGGCTCAGACCAATTGAGTGGCCTGGAAGAGACACTCTCACACCCATAGAGCTGCCTGCAAGCTGTGCAAAGCGCGTCAGGGTTTCAGCTTTTGTAATTTGTCACCCATGCTGGGGTGGGCTCTTAGAGATGCAGCTATCTTTAAATTATTTTTGCTTCTGTAAGTAACCCCAATAAAACTCGTTGGTGCAACAGCTTCCTTCTCTTCAATGCCTAAGGTGGTGCTGTATAAACAGCAATGCTTGGCAAATGTCTGATGGATTCTGTTGAATTAAATGTGAGTGGACCCCACATTTCCTAAAAGTCACTTTTGAGAAGTCTTCTGTTTATAAGCTTGCTAACCAACACTATTGTCTCTAATCAGAAAAGTAATCTATAGAAGTTTCTAATATTTGATCTCTCTGTGTGTTTCGATCCACTTTAAACTGGAGCTGTGTGTAAATATGTGCTTGGAATGTTCACTGCATGCTTCAACAAAACAGACAGGAAGATGTAGAGTGCCTCCCTCTTGAATCAGCGGCTCAATAAAATGTAATGTTTACTTTCCATCCTTTGTAAAAAACCGGTTTTTCTATGGAGCTTGATTCCTTTCACACAAAGCTACTGACATCCTCTCAAATAAAAAGGGGCTGAGAAATGAGACGTTTTCCTGGTGATTACCGTGAAGACTTGGCAGCAATTCTGTACCCAAATGGCCATGAGCTACTGCTATTGTTCACTGTTTAGGAAGCCTGCTCTTTTCCTTTGCACCCATTAAACGAAAATGTCATAGTCACAGGGAAACACTTGCAGAACACATTGGGGAAAGACATTAAATGATGTATCATTGTGGGGACAGCTGGCAATTCTTGATCTTTTTTCCCTTAATAATGACTGAATTGGGTTTCGAAGTGAACTAGGTAGGGGAGGGTCTTCTGCCATATCTTTATGCAAAGCAAATACTAGAGGAATACAATGAATTGATCATATGATTGTCCCATCTATTCCTAACTGTAGCTGAGCCTGATGGAGTGTTTACTCTGTGCCAGGTACTGCCAAGCATTGGACACATATTACATCCATTTTTACACATGGAACTTGGATAAAGTGCAGTTACTTAAATGAGTGTGTGGTTATACAGGCTGTAGTAGAAGAGCTAGGATGCATACCAGGTAGTCTTGCTTTGGAGCTCAATCATTATGTCTTATTGATTCCCAGAATATATTCCCAGATAAGTTGACAAGCTTGTGGTAATAAAGGAACATGGTCTCTGGGGGAAAAGTCATCTTTCAAATCTATTCAGATTTTAATTACACTCACCTTTGATTTAACTTACAGATATGGGATTTATGTTTAAGAATGTTGATTGTAGCATTGTTAGCAAGGGCAGGAACATGCTGAATGTTCATCAATAAATAAAGCTCTACTTAATAGTGACATGATCATACTTGTCAGGAATCTCTTGAATGAATTAGATCTAGATCTATTGACTTGGAAGTTTATTCATAGTATCATTAAGAAAAGCAAACAGCAGAGAACAATATGGCATGTGATTCACTTTTATCAAATAATGAGCAAATATATGTAGTATCTGGAGAACAAAGGGAAGGAAGTACGTCCAAACGTGGTAAGAAAGTGGAACGGGGCCGGGGAGGGGGAGGCTCATTGAACAAAACACTTGCTATATAGCTCAAAGATCTGAGTTTGAATCCTCAGAACCCAAATAAAAGACAGGCACAGAAACGCATGTCACAATGCCAGTGCTCCTGGTGAGATGGCAGGTGGGGAAAGGGACAGCAGAATCCCTGGAAGTTCAAAGGCCACTTAGCACCGGGCAGTGGTGGTGCATGCCTTTAATCCCAGCACTCCGGAGGCAGAGCCAGGTGGATCTCTGTGAGTTCGAGGCCAGCCTGGGCTACAGAGTGAGTTCCAGGAAAGGCACAAAGCTGCACAGAGAAACCCTGTCTCGAAAAACAAAAACAAAAAAAAACACCAAAAAAAAAAAAAAAAAAAAAAGGCCATTTAGCCTTGAATATGCAGCAATACACAACAAAACAGGGTTTTTTGTCTCAAGGAAGTTAAGGACCATCAATACCTGAGGTTGGCATCCAGTCTCCACAAGTGCCATGGCATGCACGTACCAAAACACACATACATGCACACATCTCATAAACACACATACACACACCCCACACATACTTACATGTGCAAAATTAAAAAAAGACGAGAAAACAATGACTAAAACAACACAGAATCACATCCAATGAAAACGTCAGATATACTTCCACAGCATGATTGCATGTCTGCAATAATTGACTGTGGTGGTATTGTGTTCCCCAAAATATTGTGCACCCTAATAAACTTATCTGGGGTCAGAGACAGAACAGCCACACTAGATACAAAGGCTAGAAAATGGTGGCACTCACGCCTTTAATCCCAGCACTTGGTAGGCAGAGCTAGGTAGATCTCTGTGTGTTCAAGGATACAACCAGCATTGGTGACACACGCCTTTAATCCCAGGGAGTGGTGGTAGAAAGCAGAAAGGTATATAAGGCATGAGGACCAGAAACTAGAAGCATTTGGCTGGTTAAGCATTCAGGCTTTCGAGCATTGTTCAACTGAGAGTCATTGGGATGAGGACACAGAGGCTTCCAGTCTGAGGAAACAAGACCAGCTGAGAAGTTGGCCAGGTGAGGTTAGCTATGGCTTGTTCTATTTCTCTGACCTTCCAGTTCACCCCAATACCTGGCTCAGGTTTGATTTTATTAATAAGACTCTAAGATTCCTGCTATAATTGACCTTGTATTTAGGAAAAACTGGAAAGCAGAAAGGACAATTGTTACACTAAGCATTAATTTACTAATGATTGTGTTAAGATATATTCTTGAACTTTGGCCAGTTTTTAATATGAGTTTTTATAATTATCATTATCATGTGAAAAGGATTACTAGTCCTTTTAGAAGAGGGACAAGTCTCAAATCTAGAGGCGAAGTGAAGTGTGGCCAGTTTCCTGCAATGTAAACAT